CTAGGGACCGAATGGCTAGGCAGCAGTTCTGCAGAAGAGGACCTAGGGGTTACAGTGGACGAGAAGCTGGATAAGAGTCAACAGTGTGCCCTTGTTGCCAAGAAGGCTAACGGCATTTTGGGCTGTATAAGTAGGGGCACTGCCAGCAGATTGAGGGACGTGATCATTCCTCTCTATTTGACATTGGTGAGGTCTCATCTGGAGTACTGTGTCCAGTTTTGGGCTCCACACTACAAGGATGTGGAAAAACTGGAAAGCATCCAGTAGAGGGCAACAAAAATGATTAGGGGACTGGAACACATCACTTATGAGGAGAGGCTGAGGGAACTGCAGAAGAGAAGAATGAGGGGGGATTGGATAGCTGCTTTCAACTACCTGAAAGGGGGTTCCAAAGAGGACGGCTCTAGACTGTTCTCAGTGGTAGCAGATGACAGAACAAGGAGTAATGGTCTCAAGTTGCAGTGGGGGAGGTTTAGGTTGGATATTAGGAAAATCTTTTTCCACTAGGAGGGTGGTGAAGCACTGGGATGGGTTACCTAGGGAGGTAACCCTAGGTAACCCTAGGTAACCCTTTGAGGTTTTTAAGGTCAGGCTTGACAAAGCCCTAGTTGGGATGATTTAGTTGGGATTGGTCCTGCTTTGAGCAGGGGGTTGGACTAGATGACCTCCTCCCAACCCTGATATTCTATGATATGCGACCAAACATATGTCAGACAGTAAATTACCAACATAATCATCCAGTAAAACCATGGATAAGTTTGTAATCAGAACCAGCAAACTCCAGCAGAACACCATAGATTGCTCAGTTGATTTATGCAACAAGTTCTCCCTTTCATCTTGTTTAGAACAAACATTTCACCGACATGGTTCAACCATTACGGCCAAGCTACACTCCACTTGGCACAACAGACATTGCTAGATAGTAGCTGGATACAGTGTATGAGAAGGAAACTGAACAGTGTACAAGAAGATATTGATGGAAAATTTGTTAATCTGAGTCTTGATGGGTGGAACAATGAGCACAATAATCCAGTAATATGTGCTTGTGACACAGAAGATAGGGCTTACTATTTTACAGAAACAACTGATACATCAGGAAATCCCCCTACCCACAATACAACAGAATACATAAAAGAAATAGCAGTAAAAGCTATAACAAACTGTGAACAAAAATTCAAGTGTCAAGTGCATAGCTTTGTCACACGCAATGCGGCAAACGTATCAAAAATGAGAAAAAACATAGAAGAAAATAATGCAGAGAACCTGAAACTTATAACATATGGGTGAGGTGTTCATTTGATTAATCTTTTAACCGAAGACTTAAGTACAACTCCAGGAGTAAAGGAAAATAATGCTGAAATTGCAAAATACTTCTGTAACAATCATTTTGCCTCAGCATCACTGAAAACAACAGGAGGGTACAAACCAATTCTCCCCGAAGACGTATAATGGTATTCAGTGGTTGATTGTTTCAGCCTATTTATTAAGAACTGGCCTATTCTGATGACAATTTGTGAAGAAAATCATGACAGAGATGGAACTACCACAGCCAAAGTAGTCAACATTGGACTAAGGAGAAATGTAGAAGATATGCTGAATACACTAAACCTATTTCCATAGTCATGGAAAAATTCAGAAAGATTGCTGCTGTATTGATGATGCTGTTGAAAAATTGAAAAAACTTCAAGAGACTGAAGACAGAAATACCCTGCAACAAAGTTAAACTACAGGCAATACCGAAGTGGACTGATCAAGCACTTACTCCACCTCATTTTCTCACTAATATTCTCAAACCAAAAGTACCAGGTTAGAGGCCTAACTGCAGAAGAAGATGCTGCTATGACACGTGCATCTAATAATCACCCATTAATCAGGCCAACATAATAAATTGCAGGGTTGGAGGTGAACCATTCAAGCAGTGCATGTTTGCTAATATTTTAAAGAAGTGGTGGAAGTCTAGAATTGGTGGAAGTCTAGCTAAGCACATGAAACAAGTGTTTTTGAACTGCTAAACCAGCTTTTGACAGCAGTAGCCTCTTCTGAAGGCACAGAAAAAATATTTTCTCCATTTGGACTAATTAGTTTAAAATAGAGTAATTGACTAAGAACTGAAAAAGCAGGAAAAGTTGTCTTGCTCTTCCAGCATCTGAATAAAAACAAATGGATAAGAGGAAATGCAATCAAAATCAGAATTAATCTGCAGAACTTGAAATATCAGGAGGCACATTGGAGGCATATGGGGGCATGTTGTTTTATAGGTTTTGAAAGAGAATTTGACATTTATTTCAACATTCCTAGCACTTCACAGTCACAACAGTTGTGCTAAAGATACAAGGACTCTTCGTCCACGTGTTTTAGTGCACATATTGATCAGCACTTCGGGTCTGGAACAAGCATCTCCCCCCTGTGGTACAGTAGGGCACATCTAGGAGCACTAAGCAGGCTTTTATGACTTCTTCTGAAGCACAGGAAACAAAGGATAGGAATAAATGATCAGTTTTTACAATGGAGAAAGATAAATAGTGGGGTTCCCGCAGGATCTATACTGGGACCTGTGCTTTTCAACATATTCATAAATGACCAAGAAAAGGAGGTGAACAGTGAGATGGTAAAATTGGCAGACAATACAAAATTACTCAAGATAGTTAAGTCCAAAGCCAACTGTGAAGAGTTACAAAGGGATCTCACTAAACTGGATGACAAAATGACAGATTAAATTCCATGTTGATAAGAAATAAATAATCCCAACTATACATACAAAATGATGGGGTCTAAATTAGTTGATACCACCCAAGAAAGAGATCTCCGAGTCATTATGGATAGTTTCCTGAACACATCTACACAATTTACAGGGACAGTCTAAAAAGCTAACAGAGTGACAGGAATCATTAGGAATGGGATAGATAATTAAACAGTAAATATTATAATTCCACTATAAAAATCCATGGTATTCCCACACCTTGAATATTGAGTGCAGATCTGGTCATCCCATAAAATACATTTAGAACATGTTGTAGAGAGGGTAACAAAAATGATTAGGGGGATGGACAGCTTCCATATGAGAAGAGATTAAAATGACGGGACTGTTCACCTTAGAGAAGAGACTACTAAGGGGAGGGAGGCAATATGATAAAGGTTTATAAATTCATCAATGCTATGGAGAAAATGAATAGGGAAATGTTATTTACCCCTTCATATAGCACAAGAACTAAGGGTCACCCGGTGAAATTAATAGGCAGCAGGTTTAAAACAAACAAAAGGAAGTACTTCTTCACAAAATACAGAGTCAGCCTGTGGAACTCATTGAAAAAAAGAATTAGACAAATTCATAATTGCTATTAGCCAAAATGGTCACAGATGCAACCCCATGCTCCCGGTTGTCCCTAAACCTCCCACTGCCAAAAGCTTGGACTGAATCTCAGGGGCTGGACCACTTGAAATTACCCTGTCCTGTTCACTTCCTTAGAAGTCCCTTATACTGGCCACTGTCAGAGTAAGATACTGGTCTAGATAGACCATGGGTTTGACCCAGTATGGCCATTTTTATGTTCTAATTCAAGCTACTACTGCAAATGAAATACTGAACTAGAACAGCAGTCCCCAAACTGACAATGGGGCTGAGGCCAGCAGCTTGGAGTGGAGCTGAGGCCAGCAGCTTGGTCCCCAAGCCGGAAGGCATGATGCCAGCAGCTGAGAGGCGCTTCCTCCCTGTCCCCTGCGGGGGCTGGCCCAGGCTCCCCCAAACATTCCCACCCCACAGTTTAAGGGCCTTTGAACTAGAAGAACTACAGCCTTTTCAAACCCCTTGAACTACTACAAACTCCTCAACGATGTCTCCACTTTTTATCTCCCTCAGCACTCAAAGTCTTTTTACATTGCTGTTCTCAACTAACTATATCCTATGTGGTACACTCATCTCTGCACCTAGAATCTGCTCAGAGTCCTTTTTGAAAATGTACTTCTTCCAAAATGGTCTACAAGCCCAGGCCTTCCTCCCAAGTGTCAGCAAAATACTAGAAGATAATATTTTAAAATTCTAAACAACATTAATAGCATTAGCAACCCACCTGCTAATTCCCCCTGCCACAGTTCCTCACTTGCTTACTATCCATTTATATCTTATAATTTCCAGGGACTTTGTGAAGTACCAAGTGGGGAGAGCAACAATTTGCTTCTAATGAATACAATTCCCACGTCATCATTTCATTATAAAACAACATAAATTTAGTCCTGGCTCTGGGTCTCCCAATACATCTGCCTTTATCTTTGTCTTTACACTGCGGACTCCTTTTGAATCTTGTGTACAGCAGAAGGCAGCACAGCACATCAACAGCACTTAACAGAAATAAAGAAGCAGTGCAGGCAGCAGTAGGGCCTGGGAAGTGGTATATAGGGCAACCGGGACATACTCCATGGCCTCCTGTGGGAGCAGTGGGTGTACCTATGGGGGAAGGCAGAGGTGCAGGGATGCTCTGGAAGGCAGTGGGGGAGGCTTGGGGAACAGGCAAGGGGCACCAGCCTCTTCCTGGTGCGTGTAGGGGGAGCCGGCTGAAATGGACCAGACAGTAAATTATGGGGGCTGTGTTCCCCTTGCCAATAGGCCCGGCCCAGCCCCCCTCTCCGTGGTTCCGCCCCCTGGCCTGGTCGGGGGCCAAAAGTTGGAGCCGGGCATGCTAATGCAGGGCACTGGCTGCTCAGGAGCCCTTAAGAGCTACCTGGGCGGGGGACCCGGCTCCAGGCTGGCAGAGCCCTGCGGGAGCAGTGACCGCAAAGAGCTGGGCCCAGGAGCCCCGGGATCTTCCACCGGCCCTGGGCGGCGCGCCCCAATCTGCGGGGACATAGGCAGGGGGCTACTCCGGGGCCCCGGCTAGACTTCTCTGCTGCTGCGGCTGGAACTGGGTGCCTGGCCAGCAGCCCCCGCTCTCGCCGCTCTGCCTTCAGAGCCGGGCGGGGGAGAGCGGCAGCGCCCACAGCCCCCTCGCCGCCCGCTGCCACCTCACCTTGATCTCGCTGTCGAGCAGGCGGGTTCGCTGCACAATCTCCTCCGTGGACATTTTCAGCACCTCCTCGCCCACGCCGTCCTGCGGGGACAGAGTCACCGTCACCGGCCGCCAGGCCCCTCACGTCCCGGCCCGCCAGCCGAACTCACGGGGAAAGGACACAGCGCTACCCCGACTCGACCGGGGCAGGGACCGGGGTCCCAGCGCTAGTACCCCCGAGCTCGGAGTCCCGCCCGCTCCCCAACCTCCCACCCGGGGCCCGGCTCCTCACCTCAGCCTCATCCCACACCGACGCCATCTTGGCCTGGACGAGTGGCCGGGGAGGTAAATAAGGCAGCAGTCGGGGACAACAGATTCCGCCCTCCCCACGGCACGATCCCCGCCCCGCCTCTACGCTCAGACGCTTCACTCTCCCTTGCCCGCCCTCACTCGAATCTGTCGTGCAGGAAAAAAAACCCGCAGCCTCCGATTAGTCACGTGACAGCACCCAAATCTGCTGAGTGACATCCTCACCGCCATCTTCGTGCGGGGCAGGGGCGGGGCCCGCGGCCTGGCGCCCCGCCCCGGGGGGTGGCGCAGGCGCCGTGCCCAGCCGGCGGGCGGGGAGGTGTTCCCCAGGGCGGAGGGAGTCGCTCGTGTGGCCCCTCCCCCCGGGCACGAGCAGAGCCAGCCGGGCGTGAGTGCAAAGACTTTATTTGCAAATACAAACAGGTGGGTGTAAATATAGCGCGTGCGCGGCCCTCAGGCGCTTGGGCTGGGCTGGGCACACACGAATCCTGCTCTGCCCCCCAGGGGCCTGCCCAGCGACACCGCCGGGCGGGCCACGTGCCCCTGGCAGCAGCCGAGCACCTTGAAAGCAGCCTCTGTTTAGGAAGACACCTTGTTTGCACAGAGCTCCGGGGGTAGCATACACAGACTCTTGCGGCCTTAGAGGGAGGGTATTGCATTAGCACAAAGAGGGGGATTCAGGCCTCAGCAGAGGGCACCCTGAAGACTGTAAGGCACTGAGGAAAGAGGAAGACATGATGGCACAGGACACCATCAGTCATGCCTTGGGTCTGTTCTCTCTTTAATACAGAGTTCTGAATTAAATCCATTTTCCGTATACTGGGTAGCGATAGTAAATTGCTAGGAGGGATCCACTATAATGCAGGAGTAGGATCTAAATCCTGTTGCTGAAGAAAGAATCATAGAATATCAGGGTTGGAAGGGACCCCAGAAGGTCATCTAGTCCAACCCCCTGCTCAAAGCAGGACCAATTCCCAGTTAAATCATCCCAGCCAGGGCTTTGTCAAGCCTGACCTTAAAAACCTCTAAGGAAGGAGATTCTACCACCTCCCTAGGTAACGCATTCCAGTGTTTCACCACCCTCTTAGTGAAAAAGTTTTTCCTAATATCCAATCTAAACCTCCCCCACTGCAACTTGAGACCATTACCAAAGAGAGCCCATGGAAAGACCAAAGAGAGCCCATGGAGTAGACTGGCTGCATTTCCAGCAGTGCATGCTGAGAATGGGGCTGCTGCTCTAACACGGACAAGGGTGCTGGGCTACATCTACCCAGGACCACTGGCCAGTCCCCAGCCTCAGTTCTCACGAGGGGCAAAAATAAAAGCACCAAAGAAAGGCAAGTAAAGACAATAACTAGCCCAAGTGGAGCTGACTGAATAGGAGCAAAAACAGGGTGTGAACTGGCACTGGAGAAAGTGTCAGGCAAGTCCTAGAACAGGTATGATAGAGTGTGAAACTGGCTCTAGAGAGGTGGTTCCAGAGGGACTCCAAGATGACTGCTACTTCAGAACACAGGTAAAATGTCAGGTTAGAGTAAAAGCTCAAGGTGCACTTGTTGCATCCTGTGCAGGAGACCTCTCCACCTGCAAATTAGGGTCCTCCTTTCAGGCTGTGCACGCTGAATGACTTTCCAGGGTTCTGTCTTCTGGCCTCTGCTGCAAGTTGGAATATGAGCTCTCTGAAAATGACTGATTCAGCACGTCACACGAATCCTGGCTTCATTGATGAACGACGGCAGTTGGGGCAGCCACGAGTCCCATTGGTCTGGAGGCATCTGCAACAGGAAGTGGTCATTTCTCACAGTGCATGTCTACAGAGAGAAGTGCAGGGGGTTCTGATTCACAGACCTGGACTCCTATCCCAGGGGTGGGGAAGGAAGTGGCTTAGGGACTCACTACACAAATCACCTTAGATGGGTTCATACCTCTACTCTCCATTCCTACAGTGAGACTTAGGGAGTCCTACGTGCTATTACTTCCAACAGTCAAGGACGGGGAAGCTAAACAGATCATTAAACTTTTTTTTTTTTCTTAGTAACGTTAAAGATTAGATGGTGGGTGACTCTTTGTAGAGGAGTCATTGATTTTGTATAAACAATGGCAGGACACTGTGAGGAAGTATGCTCTGTATTTAAGTGATTTGCATATTCAGACTGCAGAGAACAGTTCTACTCTGGACCCTAATAAAGCTTTTCTATTACTCTTGTCCCTTCACAGATCTCTCTCTAGCCCCAGCCCTCTCCCATAAATCCCTGCTGAACTCCTGCCTTATCCTATTCCCCCTGCAGGAATCCCTCTCTAACCATCTACCTCATCTCCCCGCCTCCATTCCTCTCATGTCCCCCACTCTGCCCTATCCCTGGTGCTCATTACTTTAAATGGAAGAAATGGGAGCAAGGCAGCGCCTGGAGCTGGCTGTTCTTCTCCCCAATGGACTCTCCACACATGCCGCAGTACAGCTCCATCTCCTCTACACACTCGTGGAACTTCACCACATGGTCACGAAGTTCCCGTTGCTGTCCCTTTGTGCGATAGATTCCTTCACCCAGGCAGTGAAGCTTCAGCAGGCCAAGCTGTGCACAGAGGCATGAGAGAGAGGATGAGGCAAGGTGAAGGAGGACCAATAGCATGGGGAGAGCACTAGAAGGAAGAGGTCTTCTCCAGCCCCACCAGCCATCTGGGATACACATGAGCCTCACCACAGAAAACACAAACTTGCCCAGGGGTCAGGGTTTATCTTATGAGCATCTAGAGGCCCTCCCATCTATCCTTATCCTTTTGTCCCAATGTGCCACTAAAGGGGAACCCAGGTTTGCTGCGCTCCAACCATTCTGCATCTTTTCATAGAGCTGGTTTTCCTAGGCACCTGCATGCCCATAAGTCACCTCTTCACTTCCCTCTAGCTCCTAGCTAGTATGCAATTTGTGCACTGTGCTCAGCATATACTAGCAGAGTATCCCAGAGGCTGGCTGGTCGGCCAGTAAATTAATGCCATGTAGCTATTTATCAGAGAAAGGATCCTTAGTCCTCCACTTCTCTTCACTGCTGTTGTTTTCCTGTTTAACATTTTGGCTTCCTCTCCTTCCCACTTGTTTAACCCACTCTGGCTCCCCACTAAACTTTCTAAGGGTCTCTCAGTTGCCATCGTCCACCCCCCATGCTCAGAATGCTCCACAGCTACAGGCTCATACCTGAATTAAAAACAAACTCAGAATGGTTCAAATTCTACACTTAAGACTCTCAGCATGAGCCTCAAGGACCTATTGGTTAACATGGGCTTACGGAGGATAACGGAGCAATGTGAGGCTGGAAGATAGAGTGGACACTTAAATCCCTATTAGAGGGCTCTGGACACTGGTGGAGGGGAGCTGTGAACTCTTACCTTGTTCCCCAGTCCCTCTGCCAGCTCTTCTGCCTTCTCAATGCCTTCCAGTGCCTGTAAAAGAGAAAACAGAGACCCCACATATCAGCAGATGGCCACTTCTTTTGCCAACTATTCAGCACCAGCTCTGCATGGTGAGGGACCTGCTGGGAATTGAAAGGCTAAGGAACAAGGAAGTAATGGTATTAGGGTTAATAAAACATTCCTACACTCCACTCCAGTAGAAGCAAGAAATCTGTGGTGGGATGTGCACACTCACAGTGTGGCCTCATAAAGCTCAGCGAACTGCCTGCTCACTGAAGGGTCATAGGGATGCAACAGGGACATTCCTATCCGAGATGCACATTGAATGGGAAGTCAGAGTGCAGGCTTGACAGAGACTGGTGTTTCCAAAGGGAGTGGTTATAGAACTAATTAAACTCCAAGGCAGTAAATCACTAGGGCTGGGCTTAAGCATAAGCAAAACAACTAGCTGCTGCTAAGTGCACCAAAGATACTCTCTCCTTCCCCATCCGCCTCCCCAGTCTTTGGGCCACTTCAGTCTCTACTTCCACTTGGACAAGAGAGGCAAGAACAAGGACCAGCATTGCTAACAGCACCCATGGCTCCCAACCAACTTGTCCTACCTCTGCTGCCCATGACCCCTGTGCTGGGGTATAGGAAGGAGCTGTTTCCCTGGCCTTGCCAGCCTGAAAGGAAGTAGCATCGTTCTAGCAGTCGCTATTCTGAGTGAGTCTTTACAGCTCCCCTATCCCTCAGAACAAGAAATAATCAATGCTGATAACTAGCCTCTGCCATCCAGGGTTATTGAGCAACCGACTTCAGGGTTTCAGCTGGCAGTATGGGAGAAGGGGTTTCCCATTAAACAGGATTGTATAATTAGGTTTATTATGGGATTTCTACCTTCCTAGAAAGCATTGGGCATTGATTGCTTTGGGAGCTGGAATAACAGACTCAGTGGACTTTTGGCTTATTCCAGTGTGATGGTGGAGTTAGCAGGAACTGATGGAGATGGACAAAATAATGAAGGCTGTAGTGAAGTTGCTTCCTCATCTCTGTTGCATTCCACAAGGAGAACAGAGGGGTCATTCAATGAAATTAATAGCTGATTAATTTAGAAATTATAAAAGGAGAGATTTCACTGACAGCCCTAGTGAGTGGGGAACTCCTGGCTGCAGGGGCCAGAAAGCCTAATACCACACAGGATTTTAAAAAAATAATTGACTTATTGAACCTAGATTCTGTGCCAAACTAACTAAAATCACTCACCTTTCTTCTGCAGCACAAAACAGGCAGAAAGCCATCTTAACCAGCTGGTTGGGGATTCCCTCAGTGTAGGGGGAAACACCAAGTGCCACTGGCCCTACACCCCATACCATATACTCCAGCCATTGCAGTTGGGCAAGTTTGGTGGGGGTAGGAACAAGAGTGGGGGGACATGGTTGCAGTTCTTTGGAGATCCCTAGCTAGCAGAATGGTCTTTTGGGGGCTGTTAGCAGCCAGCACAAATTAGTCTTAAGACAATTTAGAGCAGCCTTAAGTATCAGAGGGGTAGTCGTGTTAGTCTGTATCCACAAAAACAACAAGGAGGCCGGTGGCACCGTAAACACTAACAGATTTATTTGGGCATAAGCTTTCATGGGTAAAAACCCCACTTCTTCCATGAATCCAAAGAAGTGGGTTTTTTACCGACAAAAGCTTATGCCCAAATAAATCTGTCTTTAAGATGTCACCGGACTCCTCATTGTCTAAATTGTCTTGTAAATGTAAAGCCTACTTTGGCTCCTGTCTCATCACCTGTACTCAGCACAACTTGGCCACAGCTGAGGATTCAGATTATAGGCAGAGCTGGTAGCATCACATG